TCTTTGTTCATTAATAAAACTTCAATCATCATTTAAAATCGATGAACATTCGACAATAATATCATTTTATTTAAAAAATCATTCAACTCAAATCGAACGAATTAATCAATTAATTAATATTGATAAAATATTTTTTATTGATAAAAATGTTCAACGAATTGCTTTACATTCTAAACAATATCGAAAATTTATCGATGAATTAATTCAAGATGACAAATCTATTACTGTAGATAAATTATCAAATGAACAAAGTAAATTTTTAGTAACATTAAATAGTAAAACAAAAAATTTGAAATGGCCCGGATTAAATATGGATTTATTGAGTTCTTCTTCTTCATATTTATTAACTGAACAACAACAAGAACATATTACAAATATTATTTTAAATGATTATCTTCAAGTAATCACTTTAAAAAATTATTATTTTTTATTATAATTTTTCTTTTCTAGGATAATAATATATCGAATTTGGATAAATTAAAATGTTTACGTGTTCTTCGTCGTTTCTCTTGTACATATAATAAAACTCTTGAATGGATTCAAAACAAACAAACATCTCAATTATTGATAAAGAATTCAAATAAGACGCCTAGTTGGAAAACTCGTGGTGCTACTGTTGCACCTATTGATGATATTATTCTATGTTTACCAGCTACATTTAATTTAAATCAAGAATATTTATTAAAACATTTTGATTTATTAAAAACAAATTTAAATACATCAAATGCAAGATTTATTAGTGATGCTATATTAAATATTTCACGTAAAATACCGGATGAAATATTCTTAAAATCTTATATTGAATTTATTCATAATGAACAATTTCAAAAACTTGGTAAATTTAATAATATCTAATCGATATAAATAAATTCTTGTTTATTTTAGGTATAACAGCAAATAAACAAATTCTTCGTTTATTAATTGAATATGTATCGGATTCAAGTTTAATTAAAACTCTTATTAAACCATTATGGAATAGTAATCCACATCAAGATGTTCGTGCATGTCTTATATTAACATTACTTCATTTTTTTGGTAAATTGAATTCAAATGATGATGAAAATATTATTTGGCAAATTTTTGAACAAGCTGCAAATGATGATTATTTGCCAGTTGTACAATCATTATTTGCTGCACATCGAGGAAAGTCTCGTTGGCCATTATCTCAATTAAAGAATTCATCTAGTGATTTATTTGAAATATTTGTTAATCAAATACAATTTAAAATATTAGATCATCCAAATTCATTAGAAGCACGTTCATGGGCATGGTCAAATATTGATTATGAATATTTAAATACAAATAAATTAATTGAAAAAGCTCAACAATTATGTATTAAATTTGATTTAAATGCAAATATGTTATGGGAAAAAGCTTTTGAAAAAATAATTTTATTATATCAAAAAGAAAAAATGTAAGTTGAAAAAGAAATAAATGCGAAAACCTCGGATTTAAATCCGAGTGTTATATGTACTTCAAAAAGTGAAAAGGTATATTCACTGTGTTTTTTATCACTAACTTGCAAGGAGAAAATACAGGCGTGCTAAGTTAGCATGGACCATACTGTATGCGACNACAGAAGATGATTTCTGTTGTACGTCCCATCATCATTAACGATTACTTGGAAAGATCTTTTAGGACGAAGATAGTCTAAAGAGATTTTGAGATCTTTTATTAGAACGAAAAGAGCAAGATGAATTCTTTCTTAATTACCTTTCGTTCAATCGAATATATATAAATAATGATAGCTATTTAACAACAACAAAAACATTTCGAGTACGAAACATACAATACTTCGTTGGCTTACTCGGAGCTTTTAAAAACGAAAGTAGTAAAGCATCGGAGATAATTGGTTGTTTTCTTATGGATAACAACTCCAAACCTATATTTACTTGACTGAAATTAACAACAATGACATGGTTTTATAGTCTCTTGTAATGACAAGTTTTCAATTGGAGCACGGAACCATTACATCTTTAATCATGATCAATCAATTTGTACCGAAGTCTTGGAAATATTTTTTAATACATAAATAACTCAGAATGACTAATTCGTCATAAAATTAATGTTTGAACAAGCGTTTTTTTAGCTAACGTAAGCCTATAGATTTATTTCTCTCCATTGTTCTCTACATTTATTTGAGAATACAGCTGTGTAATACCTGCGAAGCTAATACCATCAGTGTTGAATGGTTTTGTTTTAAACTTGTAATAGAAAAAAGCTGTCCGCAAACAGTTATATTTTGATGAAACTTATTTTACGAAAACTGATACAAAATTAGACCACTAAGAATTGGTACATAAGAAAATATGCGTGAATTTAGTATTGAATGAATCTCTATCATATTAACAATTCAATATAAAAATGAAAAATTATTTTGATAGTGTCATGATAAGATGTCTTCATATGAATATTAAAACTAACATTACGCACATTGTAGATATTTAAACTTACAAAAGATCATATAAAGCAATGTAAAAAAAGTTCAATGACCGTAAAAGTTGATTATTTTTCACGAAACAAAAAGATCAAATTTGACAAAAATAATATTATAAAAGTTGCCGTTTATTACTTTTCAGATATTTATTATTTTAATATTTTTTGAAGAATCTTCTGCTGAATATGGCAACAGGAGGTGGAGAAACAGGAACTACACAGCATTTATTACGCATTACTGACGTTGAACAGGAGCTGCTGGAATTTCTTGCGCCCATCGGTGGTTATGAAGAAATGCCACTTGTTCCACTTGAAATAGCTGTTGAACCGCTCGTTCCTATTCTACCAGCTGTTCAAAGTCATGCATATGTTGCCAAACAAAGATGTAAGAATCCTGCCGATGAATTGACACAAGATGAATCGGCCTCTATCATGTTGTATACGATGGAGTGGGAGCCACTCAATAAATGCCTATATTATGTTTTGAATAATATATTACGATCACCTGAACGACAACAGAAGCTTAGGCCATGGTATTTGTTCATGAGACTTTTTCTTAGCGCACTTCTTCATCTTCCAGAGCTTCCTAAAGTTGCATATAGAGGCGTCAAATTAGATTTGAGCAAGCGTTACATCAAAGGAAAAACAATCGTCTGGTGGGGTTTCTCATCGTGCACAACTACGGTTGGTGTTCTACAATCGGAACTATTCTTGGGGAAGACCGGTGACAGAACAATATTTACCTTACAATGTCAATCAGCTAAAGATATTCGTAAACATTCGTATTATCCAGCTGAAGATGAAGTACTTCTTATGGCTGCAACTCAATTCAAAGTAGTCAGTTGTCTTAATCAAGGTACTCTTCACATTATTCAATTGGAAGAAACTCGTCCTCCATTTCCACTATTACAACCAGTACCTATTATTGTTCCATCGCCGATTAATCCACCTTCCACAAGTAAGTGAAAATCAAAACAAAAGAAAATTTCACTTGATAAATAACGGTCCGATTTTCGATACCAAGGAGAAAATCAAGAATTACATCTCTCAATTAATGCACGCATCATAAAATGTGAACACGAAAAATCGATTTATGTCAAAACATTAGAAAAAAATTCTTCATGATAATTTTCGATTAAACTTAATGGGATTTTTCGTTTCAAAGAATGATTTAAAAACCTCATCAACTTCAACCAATTTTGTGATTTATTTATTGAACTCTGTTTTCTCTCGTAAAATCTAAATAATTAGTTTAAGTTGATTTGTTTTCCAAAACGATGGAAATCTATTGAACATTTTCATCTCTTGAAATTGATTAAAATAAAATGATAACCGATTTAAATATTTTCTTTAGGGTATACTTCCTTTTGTAATTCTTAGATTTTTTGATTTTTTGATTTCCATGTTAGAGCAGGAAGGGGAGACGTAAATCAAAATCGAAAACATGTTTAGTCAAATGCATCAGTGTTCCGATGCTGTAGAAATTGAGTGTATGTAATGTAAATTTTTTTCCTCAAGTAAAAAATCTACAACAATGCTTTTTCTTTCGATCAACCTACAGATAAAAATTACAATTTTAGATAAGTTAATAAATTCGCACAGAACGCGAAAATCTGACATCTTCAAATGAAACACTCCCTTACTCAGCCACTCGCAATCTCATAGTTTTCGCTCATATAGACACCCTCATTCTCATAGGAACTTTCTTTGTCTTCTATTGCTGCTGATGACACTTGTCTTTGCTTTGAATAAGCCACCAAATAGTAAAAGGATATTAAATTTTATAGAAAATACTCCAAAAAACAACTATTAAGAAACGAATAATTGTCTTATATTGTAGTTGCTTTGACAACGACTGCTGCTGGCATCACCAAAACAAACAAACATACACATTCCGGCAAAGTTCAAGTGATTCAAATAATTTCTTAGTGCCTTTTTTTCGTCATATATATCTCTTTTCGTTCATAGAGCAATCCACCTGCAGCAGCCGCCGCCTGCAGTGCCGGAAAGACTGGAATAAGCTGCATCACCAACCAAGTAAGACGATAATCACTCTAGAAAATTGATATTTGTCGAACATCTTATACTTTTAGATATCCGCCATTAAAATCAACACTTCAGCAAATAAAGGTAGGATATCGTTGANTCAGGATAATTATTCTGCAGTTTCATTCCTGTCTGCCATTATACATCATCAAGCTCATTCATATTTGAAATTTGTATGACGGAGCAGTGTTTTGTACATAGCACAGAAAAATAAGAAGCAGAGATAAAATTATTGAAGAGTAATGAATACTTTTTGTGTTGGTAGCCGGCGAGAGAACATTATCAGATGTAATATTTTATTTTGAATCTATGTTCCGTCCATAGTTAGATTTTAATGAGAAATCAAACCACGAAAACAGTTGGGTGTAGGTGTTGATGGGCATCGTTTTCATTATATATCTAACTACAGAATCGCACGCACACCCACACACCCACACCCAGATAATCAACATCAAGTGTGATGTATAATTACAGACAGCATCAAGTTATTAGCTATAGTAACTGTAGCGATTGCTCCTAATCGAATTTTTCTGTCTGCTGTGAGAAGAAGGCTCTGTGGGATTTTGTCTCTCATCTGACATTGGCGAGAAGTGAAATATGTTAGAACAGGAATTTCAGTCTCGTGATTGCGAGACTCAGTCAATGAGTAAAGGAAAGCTTAGCCATCCAAATCTGAGATAGCTTTACTTTAACTAGCGGCGCACGGTTTTTTTTAATTACGATTGAACTGATTAGAACAAGTTAATAGAGCAAATCTTTTTCCTAAGAACTCATTTAGTTTAGAATTTCATAATAATTCTGAAACCGTAAAAATAGTCACATTGTTCAATAAGAAGACTGACAGATTCAACCACTAGAATTACCATTTAGATACGTTCCAGATGTCACTTTCAACATCAAATTTATGTTCAGCGTAACCGTAACTCATATTGCCTAATCTCGAAATAGTTGTAATAGATGACGTGTTTAACCTTCCATTTTGATATAATGATTCATCAATATGCATATAAAGTACTTTTCCAACAATAATTGTTGCGCTTCCGTAGTTGCCATCTCCGACTTCCATGGAGTTGTAAAGTTCACATTCCATCTGAATAGGCGATTCTTTTACTCTTGATGACTTTACCTTGACACCGGCTATCGCAGTTAAACCAACCACATCGAATTCATCTTGATCTGCTGGTATTTCAGCAGATGCATCAAAAACTTGTGGAAATATCTCCTTTGTTACATGATTAATTACGAACTCCTTTTCATTTTCAATATTAATCAATGTGTCCTTCTTACTTCCATCACGTTTTCGAGTTAAAGAAAACATAATGGTAGGTGGTTCACTAGTAACACAATTATAAAATGATAATGGAGCTAAATTTTTTATACCTAAAAATAAAAAAAAGAATAAAAAAACAGGATAGGAATCAAAATATATCATTAAGTGTTTTACGTCACCTGTTTTACTATCAGTAGTACTGATAAACGCAATCGGTCGAGGAACAACAGCACTGCAGAGAAGTTGATATCTCTTGACTTTGTCAATATCAGAAAAGTCTATGCCAATCATTATCTGCAAAACATATGCAACAAACAATATCATCAATTAACGCATAAAAGTCCTGAGTGCGATTTCTACTACGTTTTAGTTTATTGTAGTTGTATCAATATTTTGGCATATAAAATATAATGGAGTGAGATGAGACAATAGAAACAGTATGTTTCAAACAAAAAATGGTATTATTGCAATCCCTGCAGGAGTAAAATATGAAACACGATGTAGTTGCTCTTAGTAATCACAGAGAGCTTGTTATAATCTATCTATTTTGCGGCACATTTCTAAACTATTCCCTTACTTATTTCTTCAGAACTAGAATCAGGATTGAGTTCATATATTTTAATAAGATGTTATTGATGAACGGTTTTTGATCGCATATCAATAACGTCTTGCATAGTCGATGACTGGTTTCAGACTATTTGTCATGGTCCTCGGCTAGCAGGGAGATTGTGTCACTTTTCTTGCAATAACCTTCAACGTCTCTTTCATTGATTTCTCATTAACAATTCATCAAGAGGTCATTAGTTAGCCATTATTTAGTGATTAAAAGTAATTAATTCACGGTTAATTAGATTTTAATTAGGTCTTAATGAAATACTCAATTATTTAATTGAAATATCTGTCGTGGTCTGTGAGGTGTGGATGTGGAGTTGGTCCGAATATCTACCCTATATATTTCAGCACTCTTTTTAAATCATGTTTCATAATATACAGAACTACTTAGAAGTACCACGACATATGAAAAATCCAACGAAATAATACCATTGTGGATGAAAATCTCACCGTAGACCTATCTCAAAATACTGTTATTGCAAGCTTTAAATCGGGTTCGATTTACTAAACAGACATGTTGTTTGCAAGTCTATCATAAAGCTCAACTTGTTTACCGAACTTTCTTGCTCAACAGAGTTTCTTACTGCATATGCTTGCACATTCAACCTCTTTTTCCTTCACATACAAGACATAAGCTGTGCTGTAAGTTTGCGAGATGTCAACAAATTCGCGAGACTACAGAAAGCTTTAGTTGATCTAATAGAATTTGTACTAGTAAAGGTGTAACAAAATAGTTTTTTGTGCTCCGGATCCCAATATTGGTTAGAATACAGTATCCTGGAACGTGGAACCTTTAGTAAAATTTGTACGACTACTTGAAATATATTTCACTTAGACTGTCTCTTAGTTTTCATGTAGCCGTTCTTGAGAAGCTCTAGAAATGATGGGAACCTTCCTTTCAAAGAGTACCGAAATATAAAAGCAATTTGAGTCTTTGTGTTCAATGCCGACATAGATCTATAATTCTTTGTCCGATATGATGTAAAAATTACACTATACGTTTTTTTTACCTAAGTCATTTTAGTGCTATATGCAAGCACATGTGGCAGCAGCTACTACTAGTTATTTGAATAAGTGTAGTAGCAAGCTAATCAAAAAGGAATCCGTCGGACACGACCGTAAATCCGCCACTTACTCAGAAAATTATTCACCATCTTCAGAACGGAAAACGCACATTTTTCTAAATATGTTATTTGAACAAGTTCTCTTTACTTATGCTAATGAACGGAAGATGTGGAGACCATTTAATATACTGGCAGTAAATGATTTGATAGTCTCGTCGGATATATGTGGCATTCCTTCTTATTCTACTATTAGTGTTCTTTATATATAGGGTGTGGGTGTGGGTATAAATTAGGGGTGGCACTTTAACTTTACTCTAAAAGTTAAAGTTAAAGTGGCACTTTAAACTTAAAGTAAAACATTTTAAAACTTTAAACTTTAATTAAAGTGAAATGCGTTAAAACTTTAACTTTAAGAAAAAGTTAAAGCAAAGGGCTTGTGCCATAGGTAAGAAACGATCATGGTCAGTTCTTGGGTCCTCATCTAGCTACCCTAGGGGGAGGAGTGGGGATCTCAGGTCCTTATGTGACTATCATAGGAGGGGTACTTGAGTTCTTATATGGCTATCCTAGTGGGAATACTTGCGTCCTCAACAGCTATACTATGGAGGTACCCTTAGGTCTTCAAGGCCTCTACTATAAGGTTATGCTTAGCTTCTCAAGTGCTATACTATAAGGATAACCTCAGGTCTCAAGGCCTGTACTAAAGGGGTACTTTAGGCCTTCAAGAGCTATACTATAGGGAAATCCTTAGGTCCTCAAGGCCTCATACTGTGAGAGTACGTATAGGCCCTCAGGGCCTATACTATAGGCTATGGTATAGACTTTGAAGACCTAAGGGTACCTTTATATTATAGCACTGGAGAACCTAAGGATGCCTTCATAGTACAGCCCTTGAGGACTCAAGGGTATCCTTGTAGTACAGGCCTTGAGGACCTAAGGATATCCCTATAGTATAGTACTTGAGAACCTAAGGGTATCCCTATAGTATAGCTCTTGAGGACCTAAAGGTACCTCCATAGTATAGCACTTGAGGACCCAAGTATCCCCAGTAGGATAGTTATATGAGGACCCGAGTACCCTCGCTATGGTAGCCATATGAGAACCTAAGCACTCCCGCTAGGGTAGTTAGACGAGGACCCAAGAACTGGGCATAGTCCCTTCTTACCCGTGGCACAAGCACTTTAACTTTAACTTTTTTAAAATTAAAGTGTTAAAATTTTTACTTTAATTAAAGTTTAAAGTAAAACACTTTAAATTTTAATACTTTTTTAAAGTGTTTTTAAAGTTAAAGTGCCACCCCTAGTATAGTTGTGGATCTTCTCTTCACCCAAACCCATGTTTACTAATTTGGTAGTCTCTTAATAAGAATGTCAGTTTTGAATGAAAACTTAGATAATTCTTTTAAACATGTATATTCTATGTCTATTCAACGTTACTAATTGGAAGAATCCAAAAAAATTAAAATTGCCTGAAAATTTATTGAATACTATATATGTATAGATATTTATTAATGATATCTAGCTATAACTCTTCGCTTCTTCCTCATCTCTGTTGATGTGACCAAAGAAACTGAAAAATAACAAATTTATTGTGCACTAAACAAAAAGTAAATAAGTAAAAGACTAACATAGTCGGTAATGTTCGATCGCTTCACATGCATCTCTGTTTCCTATATCAGAGTATAAAATTTCGACATAAGCAGTACAAATTGAAAGACTGAATCGTAGTCAGCAGCTCCTATGAATCGCTGATTTATCATCTATAGTAACTCTTAACTGACTGTGCAAAAAATATTACAATAACATACCCAAAAAGCATGTATGAAGCTATGTATGAATATCAGTGAAAAAACAATGCAGAAAGAATCAGTTACTGCGTAATTTACTATGAGTGAAAAGGAAAAATGACCCTAACATACAAAGAATAGGTGATCAGATGGGCCATTTCACTCAAATGAATGAGAATATTAGTAAAAACAACACAGATATGAATAAAGGAGAACTGAAGAGAAAAAATCATAAAGGAATACATTTCAACATGCATAGAAACGATTTTGTCATTAAAATAGTCTTTTACGAACTGGTAGTATTTTCTAAGAATGATCATGTGAAACTATCAAAATATTGCACAGCCAGGGTACTCGATATATTAGCTTACTCTAGAGTGATGACGACTCATGATACCTTAACATATATGGTCAACTGATATCAGACAAAAAAATCCTTAAAACATCTTTTTCATTTCAATGTCTTTATCATTAAATTTATGTTTGCCTTCACTTATCAGATAACGAAGCATTTTCTTGAATATTAGCGTCAATAGATGGCACTTTATGACACTACCTCTATGTATATTTTTGTCATTGGTTTGTATCTTTCTCTCTAATGTTCTTTTTTGATATCTCTCCTATTAGTCTCTCCACCTGTTCAATTGTTATTTTCTTTTCTCTTCTCCTCCTCCTCCTCCTCCTCATCGTTATTTTTATTTTTCCGTCATTAGCGTTATTGATTTTTTTGTAGATGTTATTCGTTATTCATTTTAAGCTTAAATAATTATGATTTATCATATTTATCACAACCACAAGGAAAATGTAATGATAAAAGAGAACAAATGAGAAAGAAAATAACACAAAAAGCAGACAACTAGCTGTCTAACTTCTCCACCATTTGTGAGACTCTCGAATGAGTGTTATTAAGTTTTTATTCTCTGTAAATTACGAAATTCAATAATAACACCTCAGAACTAGTGTCTCTTCCAAAAGGTGAGAGTTCACCATAAAAATTGCCTACCCAGATTTTGTTGTATAATGTCGAAATAGTCTTCACCGATTATAGCAGAGAAATCTATTTCTTAAATAAACAAATAAAACATATAACAAGGCAAGGATAATGATGATAACGAAGATAATAATAATAATAGTATAATATTAATAATAACAATAGAAAATCAACAACAATAGCGACGGAAAAATAATAATGGTGATGATGAAGGGGAGAGAAAAGATAACAACAACTGGAATGGTAGGGAGATCAATAGAAGAGATATCAAATATGGGCATCAAAGGGAAAGAGAAAAACCAATGACAAAAGTGTATATTGAATCGGCGTCATTGTGTGCCATCTATTGACGCTAGCATTGAGTTTGTTGTAAAATGCTGTTGTGACTAATTTCAAGAAAACATCAGGAAATCACATAATTGTTTGAAAATATCGAGTAATGTCATATATGTCAAATGAATTGTCCAATGAACGGGGAGAAAAAATAACATGCAATATTTTCAGCTTTAATGCATGACTTATTTATTTATCTAGTCTCAACAAAATCAGCGGATGCAGAGAGAAGCACAAAGAGCTTTCCATCATCACAATGAATATAAAAGTATCTTACTATCAATCGAGCAGACAAGCAGACTGTTACATTTCGATCAATTCTACTCAATCGGCATGATTTATGAGTTTGCGAGGTGATAAAAAAGCCCAGTTAGTTTTCAAATGCATCACTATTAGATTCTTTTTCTTCTTACAGTGTAAACTTTAATATAATCAATCCTAAATTGTTTCATCTTTGCTACTTTTTGATTACATAATTTTCATAGCTTCTAATTCTGATACATGT